CCCCGGGCTGGTCGGAGGCAAAAGATCATGGCTCCTGAGCCTGCTTTAGCAGCTGGAACACACTTAAACTCTCTGCCCTCCGTGTCCCCAACACTTAAAGCAAGGGAGGGGGAGCGGGCGGAGCGCCCACCCAGCACTCACCGGAGTCCAAGGACTTTGCCCTGGAACCCGGACTAGGACACACCGCCGCTCCGCCTTCTGTTTCTCCCTTGCCCACCCGCAAGAGAGAAAGTGCTGGTTTCCACCCTGTCGGGGTGCCCTCCTAACTCCAAACTGGTAGACAAGTCAGAAAATGGGGGGCGGGGCCGGGCAACAGAGGGAGAGAAGGACTACGATTCTCACAAGACACTGTGAAATCTTGTGTCCAACTGTGAAGCCAGAGTGGCTCCAGTGGAACATAGAATTGTAGTGTCTTTGGTCCTGAGTTTAGGAATGGCGATTCTGAGTTTCTTACCTGGAGTCCTCTGGAAGGAGAGGGGATCCTGGAGCAAGCAGAGGCATGTGAGGAGGGCTACCTTTCCTCCATGCCAGGGGCCAGTCCTCAGACCCTGGTGCTCACACCCTTTGGGAACCTCTCAGCTCATCTCCAGCACATAGGTGGAGATTGATATTTAAGTATATATAAATATAAATCATTTCCTTTCCTCCGTTCTCTAGGCTCCTTCCAACCTGTGTGCCCTGGAATATTCCACTCATATTCTTCAGTAATGAAACTTACCCTGCAAGTGGACACTCATGGAGTACCTCCTTGAAGAAACTTCCCTGCCAAAGTTGGGTCACCTGCCCCCTCTGGGGGGCAACAGTTGCCAGTTTTTAACATGTATAAGGGTGGTTTATGATGTCCCTCACAAGCTGCCGGGAGGGCATGAGGTCTGATTCCTCTGTGTCTCTCACCTTGCCTGTCACAAAGGAGACCTCAACGAATGGGTGTTGAATGAAAATATAAATGAATAAATGATGAGTGAACATCAGGCAGCAGGAGGGGAGACTTGAGGTAGAAGGGGGCAAGGAAAGAAAATAGGATTAAAGAAATGACTGGGAAGAAGGAATAGACGAGAGTAAGCTAACATTTGTTAGTGCTTCCTAGATGGATTAACTCATCCAGGAGCCAAGAGTCTCATTAAGTAAGGGTTACTGATGCCATGAAATGGCCAACGGTTGGTAACTGGAGTCCCTGTTCTTGACAACTCATTAGGACTCATCATACCCTGATTCTGTCGCTAGTTGGCATTAGTTAGTTCCTTCACCGTAAATAGGCGATAATAGGACGGACCTGCGTCACTGGACTTTTGTGAGGACTGAATCCTGGTAGAGACTTAGTACTTTGCCTGGAACGCAGTGAAGCGTTCAGTTGATGTCAGTCGATACACCCATTGCCCAGATGGGGAAACTGAGGCAAGAAAAGTATTTACCAATTCACACCTGAAGGGTGGTGGAAGCAGAGGTGGGACACACAGCGGAGTTTGCCTCGCTGGAATGGAAACACATAGACTGCTCACCACTGTCGTCTCGGCATCTAGAACAATGCCTGCCATGCAGCCAGGGCTTAATAAATATGTTTAAGGAAGTAATTAGATGGGCCAACCCACACATGAAATGATGCTCACCATCACTAAATCATTAAGAAAATGCAAGTCAAAACCACAGTGAGATACCACTTCACACCTAGTAGGCAGACCACTTTGAAAAAAACAAGCAAACCGAAAATAACAAGTATTGAGAAGGAGATGGAAAAACTGTAGGCCTCGTGCGCTGATGGTGGGAATGTCACATGCTGCGTTTGCAATGAAAAATAACACGGAAGTTTCTCCAAAGATGAAAAGCAGAATTACCTCAGGGCCCAGCAATTCTACTTCTGGGTCTGTACTCAAAAGAATTACAAGCCGGGTCTCTTAGGAAATATCTGTACACTCATTATTCACAATAGTCAAGAGCACTCTAGATGTCCACCTATGGACGAATGACTAAACACTATGTGGTGTGGACACACGGTGGAATGTTACTCATTCCGAAAAAAGGACACTCTGACACACGCCAGAACAGGGTTGAAACTCGAGGACGTTAGGCTCGGTGAGTGAGAAACACAAATCAGCCGGTCACAAAACACAAACACAGCATGACTCCACATACATGGGGCACACATGTAGTCAAATTCATGGAGTCAGAAAGTAGACTGCTGGGAGCCAGAGGGCTGGGAGCAGGGGTCAGGCAGTGTTAATGAGCACAGAGTTTCTGTTTAGCAAGATGAAGAATTCTGCGGTTGGGAGCATAACAATATAAATACACTTAACATCACTGAGCTGCGTACTCAAGAATGGTGAGATGACAAATCATATGTGACGTGTGTATTTTATCACAGTTTTATTTTCAAAAGGATGAATGAATGGAGGGACATAGCCCTCAAGGGCAAACTCTTACCGGTCAGCACATACATGGGGTGTGGTTGGCAAGACTGTGGCTTCAAGTTTTCTCCTTGCGTGGATGGGCTGATACTACTTTCCTCAAAACATGATCAGTAAATGAGATTGAGCGCCAAGCACACAAACTCTCGACAGATTAGTGGTGACGGTAGTGATGATCGCTAACTAGTACTTACGGAGGGCAGCCGTGCATCGGGACTGCTCCAGCGTCTGACAAGTTTGAACACACTGAGTGCTTATGACAGACCCAAGGGGTACGCGGTGATGCAACTTCCCTGCTTCACAGGTGAGGAAACTCAGGCAGAGCTGAGGGAGCGACTCACTCCCCACTGAGAGATCAAAGCACAGGGGTTGAAAGGTCGGTCAGTCAGAGGAATGGAGCGCGAAAGGCATGGAAGGACACGGAAGCCCGAAGGATGGGGTCTGCCCCGGGCGCTCTACGCTCGCATGCCGGGGCAGCAGCTCCCCAGCCCCGTGACTTTTGAGGCTTCAAACCCTTGGCTTCCTCATCTAGAAAATGAGGAAGATAGGAGCTCGCGAGGTCGAGTCAGATTTTAGTGAACTCGATTAGATGCACACTTGCAAGCCGGCTTGGGCTCTGGAGCAGGCCTCTCTCTGTGCCGCCCAGCTGTGCCTTTGGGATGCCGGGGTCTCCCCCAGGGCCTGCCTAGCACAGGCACGGGCAGAGCAGGTCACAGAGTGAAGGACACTTGGACGAGTGGGGTCTGGCCCAGCCTGACGGGCCACTTGGACGAGTGGGGTCAGGCCAGCCTGACGAGCCACTTGGACGAGTGGGGTCTGGCCCAGCCTGACGGGCCACTTGGACGAGTAGGGTCTGGCCAGCCTGACTGGCCCAGCTGAGCCACTGCCCCAGCGACTTCCTTCTCTGCCAACTGCCCAGCGACTACCTTCTCTCCTGTCCCACGTGACTGGGAGAGCTCAGGGAGCTGCTAAGACCTGCAGGGAGCTGGGGGGTGGGGGTTTCATAGCCCCTGGAACTGCACTAAGATTTTGGGGAACAGGGCTAGACAGATACTGCCTGTCAGGGGTGACTCTTGAGTGCTTAAAACAGGGCTACTGTGGCCCTCCCTGGTGGCGCAGCGAGTGAAAGCACAGCACTGAAAATCTAAAGCTGCTTCCACATGAGTTCGATCCCCGCCGCCTGCCCCGGAGGTGACCACAGGGTGCGGCAGACCTCTCCTGGCCCGCCCGCTGCTCCCCTCAGCAGTGGACTTCGCCCATTTGCCTGTTCTGTTCCCCGCTCTGTCTCTGGTGAATCCTCTCACCACCCGAGCCTCTGGCCTGTACCCCAGTTCTGTATGCACAAATAAATAAATCTTAAAAAAAAAAACAGGGCAACTGAGCTGAACTGTGGGTATCAAATATGCACAGGATTGCAGGTGTATGAAATCCTGTACTTAAAAAAAAGCATCCTAGTTCATTGATAATTTTGTAGTGATTACACATTATAAGGACACTATTTTGACTCTGCACAGTTAAATAAAATGCTATTAACCCTTATGTAAATTTATTATAGTGTACATATAATATTTATTAAATTATTTTCATCACTCGTTTCCATTTTGCTTGTATGACTGTAGCAACTAGAAAAATGTGTATTATCCATGAGGCTCATTTGTGGGCAGTGCTGTTGGGAATTCTGGGAAGCGGTTGGGAATTCTGCTATCAAGGAGAAGACGCATCTCCTGAGCTCCCAGTAATAATGCCAAGAAGGATAACGGAAGCAAAAGATAAACAACCTAATCTAGCCCTTACTTTGGGTCTTCACGCTTTTTAAATGCTTTACATATTTATTAACTGCCTCAACCCCACCTGCTGACTAAGGAGCTATCGTCACCCGCCACGATGGGGAGGCAGTCCAGGGCCGTGAATGCATGGCCCAGGTCACCCTGCTGGATGTGGAAAACAGGCGGTAAGCCACATGGGTCCTGCTCCCGGGTCTGTCAGAGCCGGGGCGAGAGGTGGAACCCAGATGACGTGGCCCTTTCAGGCCCGGCCGGGCTGACCCCTGTTCTTACGCACATCCTAAACGCAACGTGTCCGGGACTGAGCTCCCCGCATGGCACGTATTAGATCCGCGCCAAGAAGCCAAATAAAACCAGGTGCCTGCTGGTCCATCTGATGAGTGCCCCAACCCACTCACACGCTCTCCGGCATTCAGGCTTTAGATCAGCTGTTTTCAACGAGGCGAGACTTCGTTCCTAGCTTAGGGACGGTTGACAATTTGATTAGGACAGTGGCTGGCGCAGTTAACCAGGCCGCCAGGCAGCCCCAGGCAGGGGTGGGCTCCGCCATGGAGAATGCTGTCCCCCAGAGATCAAGAGAGCCGAGGCCAGACACTGCTTTAGAGACACTCAGGCGGCCCTTATCGATGCCCCCAACTTCATCAGATGACCCCCAGAAGCTTCTGCTTGCTGTGGCCTCAGCGTATACTCTGGTTTCCAACCAGTCCCCAGCCTCAGCTGCTCCCACAGCCCCCCTGCATGCCCCTTCCACCTCCCCCACAGCTGCAGGAGTCAGCATGCTAAAACAGGGGTCTGTTCCCGCCCCTCTGGGCTGCCCCACAACCGCCACTGTGGGGCCTGAGCGGCGTGGGGCGTGGGGCCTGTTACCCTTGGGCTTCGCCTACTGTCTGACTCTCCCCGCTCCCCACACACACACAGGCACACTGGCCTCCTCCCAGAAGGCGGACCTACAGGCCTTTGCGGTTGCTCTGCCCACAAACTCCGCCACACACTTCCCTCAGGCCTCTACTTCACCTGCTCGGGGGAGACTTGCCCAGCCTCCTTAGCTACAGTTTCCTGCACATACAGCCTTAACGGCTCCCATCTCTCCCTTGCTCCTTTTCCTCCATACGAGCCCAACGCCCACCACACTACAAGACATGAAGGACAGGATACCTGCCTTTCCGCCTTACTGTCGTCGCCCCAAATCAAGAGCAGGGTCTCCTTCACACAGTCTCAGCTCCATAAACGTGAGTGGAGTGAACGAGCTACGTTCTCACTATCAGCCACACACCTCTTGACATTTCAGCTAAGGAGGGGTGGCATTTGCCACATGGTCCCGACAAGCCGCCCATCCAGCGACGGGTGCAGTGGCTGGACCGATCCGGGTGTGTACAATTCCCCCCGCGACACTGCGCGACAAAGAAATCAGCGGAAGATGCATTTCTCAGGGCATGGCCCCGTCACACGATGCGTGACTGTGCGGTCCCCGGGCTTCGTGATGCAGATCCCACATTTGGCTCTGTGATAGCCCTTGTCAGATCAGTGAAAGGACATGAACTGGGAACGGCCACAGGAGGAATGAAACAACATAGTGAAGCGGGGGGACGAGAGCAACAGGGAGAGGAGGTGACTGGGGACAAACGGAGGCCCTGCCCCATCTGAGGGGGCAGCTGCTGCTCAGACGAGCCCCCCAGGATGCAGGCCGAGGTTGTCAGGTCTGCCAGATCAAGAGCAGCTGGAAATCACGTTGAGAGTGTGAATTCTCCCTAATGTCAAGTGCTGGCCACTGGCCGCGGTTTGGGTTCCGGCGTAAACACTTAGCATGCCTGACAAAGCAGAGCTGCCTCTCCGTTCGTCAGACCTGAGACTCCCAGCTCTGCTGCTCTCACAGCGGGGCGACCTTGGGCAAGAGGCTAACTTCTCTGAGCCTCAGTTTCCTTCCTCCCAGAAGGAGGGTGGCCCTGTCATAGGGTGAAAGGAGATGATCGCATTCCTTACTCACTGCAGTGCTCAGCGAAACTGAAGAGGACGGCAGGGGAAGAGAGGGATAAAAGAAGAGAAGAGCAGTGAAGAGATTTCGGTCCTTTGGCGCCAGAGAAAGAGCCTTTGGATCCCCTAGTCCCACTCCTTAGTGCTGCAGACAGCGTCACAAAGCTTGAGGAGATGAGAAGACAGAGGTCGCACAGCAGGACAAACGCACAGTGGATGGGGACCTGGGTCTCCTCTGTCCCAGCCCAGCACCAGGAGAGACAATGCCGACAGCGAGAGTGGAGGGGGCACAGGAGTGGGGACGGGAAGAGAAGAAACTCAAGCGTCAGGAAATAAGGGATGAACGAAGGAAGAAGGGGAGTTGAGGCCTGGAGGAGAGGAGGGAAGCTGGAGCAGAGCCGACGAAAGGAGGAGGAGACCGGGAGCAGGCTGGGAGGCCAGAGCGGTCCTGGTCCTACTGGGCAGCCCACCGGGGAGAGGCAGATGCAGGGCGATGTGAGGAGGAAAGGCATGGGAAGAGGGGGAGAGGGCCAGACGTGCAGCCAGAGAGGGTGTGAGGTGTCCTGGGAGAAACAGCCAGAAGACTGGAGGAACGGAAGGAGGGGGAGGTCGAGGAGGGGGAGGTCGAGGAGGAGACCGGAGGTGGAGGAGATGAAGGGGGAGATGATGAAGGAGGCGATGGAGGAGCAGGAGATGAGAGGTGCGGAGCTATGGACAGCGAAGGGGGCCGGACAGTCGGGCGTTTGGAGGGCTGGGTGCGGTGTGGAGGAGGATGCAACGGGCAGAAGGGGGCCACGGCGGAGTTGGTTCAGAGGAGAAAGGATACAGCTCAGTGCAAGAGAAGGGTGGGAAGAGCAGAGGGCTGGAGGGGCTGAGGGCTGGCCATACCTGAGGGCTGAGGGGCTGAGGGGCTGAGGGCTGAGGGGCTGAGGGCTGAGGGGCTGAGGGGCTGAGGGCTGGCTATACCTGAGGGCTGAGGGGCTGAGGGCCTGAGGGCTGAGGGGCTGAGGGGCTGAGGGCTGAGGGG